TCAACGTTCAGGTCCTCAAGCCTTTTCGGGAAGGGATCTTCACGAACGTTCGGTTCAAGGTGCTGAGAGGATCTGCCAAGACCGAACATGCCCTTTCGCTTGCTGATCTTCCCAATTTGAATCCACATGATTGGATAATTCTAGACAGAATCCTTCTCACAAATGAAGCGGAGTATGGTCCAATAATTAATCACTTCAAGAGGATGCTTGTTTGCTACATCATGGAAGTCGCCAAGATGGATCAGGAGATTGCCAGCATTTTCAAGAAGAAGCCTACTATTTCTCCTGTTGGATTAACAAGTGACCTGAACATGATGCAGATGGGGAAGATAGACCCAAAGAGAAATTCCATTATGTTTACTAGAAACAAAGGCCAAAAATGCTTGTTCACTTTGGCAGACAAACATCTCTATACCACTGCATGCCTTGGACATGTTTTGGGTATCATTCATCGTTGCAAGCAAAACTCATCAGATGACAAGAAGTATTTCGATGATATGATTCAGTGGTACATTCGCTTCAGACAGACAATTCTTGCTATTATCCCACGTCTGTTTGACACCATTAAGAAGGTTCCGGCAGCTGGACCCAGCAAGAAGAAGTAATAGTCTCGCTCCAATTGACGCAAAGGGGGAGATTGTTAGGTCCAGAAGGTGTTGCGTCTTTGGGCTCACTAGTTAGTCCAGTTTTGTCTTTGGTATGGGACTGTCCATCCGTGAGTTGTTTTGTAGGGTTTATTATTTATAGATGCTTGCATGCATCCAAGTACGATAAATTTTGATAGAGATTGAATAGCATTCATCATTCCTATCTTTTGTAACCCTAGAATCCTTTATAGCGAAAATTCTTAATCGAGCTCTGTTGAGGATTGAAGTAATTGAATCATTCGACATATTCAGATTCATTCTCGTGCTTTATCTTACTGTTTTTCGCATTCTTTATTTACCTGTTAGAAGATCTAATCGATCAAAGAGTTATATAAACTCATCAGCGTCTTCTGATTGGCCGAGGCTTCGGTTCGAGGGAATAGCAACACGCATCAATACCGGATTCAGCCACATCCTCGGTGACGCATCAGCTTCGGCTAGGTGACGTGTCCGATTACTGTTCATGCGAAAATTTTCAAATTTTGAGCCCCGAACGTCTAAAATCCATAACTTTCGCATGCGAGTGCTGTTTTTGATGTTCTTTATATGCACACATAGCTAAAATCATGCTCTACAACTTCCGTTTAGACTTCGTCGCCTAATTTTGACTTTAATTTTAATATTATTATTTTTAACAGACCGGGACAGGAAAATCCGTTAAAAATTCAAAACTTTTTCATCCGACGTCCGTTTTCGTCAGTCTTTTTACCATTGTACTACTATTCACGAGACCTTCGATTCTCGTTTAGGTTGTGTCGGCTAAATTTCGCTCGATCTTAAATTCGAGTATTTAGTTGTCTACTACTAAGCTAAAACTTAGAAAAATCGTAACTTCCTCATACGAAGTCAAATTTGGGCGTTCTTTTTATCGAACTTCTTGGTTTAACGAATACTACGACTTTCATTTAGATTGTTAAGCCTAAAAAGTGCTTTATCACAATATTCACTTTTTACGCTTCCCGGTGTCGTGCGGGTTTCGTCGTGAAACTTTGACAAGTCATAACTTCTTCGTTATAACTCGGATTTCGGCGTTCTTTATATCTCCGGAATCTTTGTTCCGGCCACTACAACTTTATTAAAAGATATCGGCTTTTTATAATATTTATTTTAAAAGTTTATTTTTATTATTAATTAATTAAATCATAATAATTAAGAAAATAAGCATATAATTCACATAATATTCACATAATTCCTCTTTATTACTTCAAAATGAGTTATAAAGGTTGACCTAGACTATTACAACTTTATTAATGCTTTTAGCCCAGGAACACGGGCGTTACATGTTAGCACACGGGTGCAAGGGGGAGAAAAGAAAACTGAAGGTTCGAAGGCTAGTGGCGAAGATGTGAAGGTTGTAGGAAAGGAGTTTCCTTCCAAAATCCCAACATTAAAATGAGTGATAGCAACTGCTGGTCCTATCTCTTCAACAATAATTACAACTGTACCAATTACAAGACAAATTTCAAAAGGAATTGTGGTTGGTAAATCTATTGACACTGGTAGAAGAGAAGTGATAGAGGAATCTGGTTTGAAGGCAAGGGGAAAGTCAAATACTAATCGAAAAATCGAAAGAAGAGTAGAAGACAGAGGCTGAATCAGAAGTAGAGAAGATGAGGATGATTCAAAGCATCATGACTCATAGGGCCAGTGATCCTCCTAGCATGAACAAGGGTGATCCATCAAAGAACTACAACTATGAAACAATTGAAGCCAAGGTTGCATTCAATCATATGTATTCGTTTGAGAAGAAGCCTAAACAGAGTTATATTGTCACGTATACGGATGCAAGCCAATTGGACTTTCCAATTAACGAAATGATGTCCATCATGCCTCAATTTAAAGTAGAAAGTAAATTCAATGAGAAGGATGAAGGCACACAAATGAAGATAAGATTTCATGCGGTTCTTGCCAAACCTGCAGAAGAATTATGGTCCTTAGTCAAGATTAAAAAGGTCAATTATATAAAGAATGATGTGGTTTTTGCAGACACAGTCCAAAACATGAAATATATTGCGACCAGGGAAAATGGCAATGTGTGCGAGTTTACAATATCAAACCTTCATTTGATGAACTTGTATGATCTTATATATTGCATTACTGCTGAAGGAAAGATCATTTTCATATCTTCAAAACATAGAGCCTGATAGGCACAAGCTGGGAGTTACTCACATCAAGATTTTTATCAACAAATATTATGAATGTTTGGCAATGAGTGATGTGGAGTTGGCTACAGCAAAAGGTCTGGAAATTACAACACCAATGGCTCCTTCGAAGACTCAAGCAGACTTGAAGAAATATGCAGATGGTGAAATATGCTTCAACCCTTTTGGCTTAGTCTTCTATAGGAAGGACAAGTCAGGAAAGTCAAAGATATTTTTGTTCTAGGCAAGTGAAGTTGAAAGATATTGTACTTTGCAATATACGAACTTGATTGTTCGTATGAACCATTGCAAGAAGAATAATGAAGGTGACAAGAAGGAACTAAACAAGATTATCTCTTGGTATACTGAGATACGAAGAGTAATGTTGTACTCCATTCAACTACTTACAAACTGAAGTCTTCAACTCTCTTTACAAAGGGGGAGAATGTAAGGGTAGTTTGGTTGTAAACAGTCGAAGTCTTATATGTACTCTTCGTATGTTTTGTTATCTATTTTACTAAGGCATATTATTCGAAGCTTTGATGTCTAGTCCTTAGTATTTTTTTGTACACTTTACTCTCCTATAAATAGGAGTCTTTACTAGAGTTAGATAAGGTTTTTACAGTCTTGTCTATTTTTACACTCTATAAACCTAAAGCTTAATATTCAGCTGAATCAAGATCTTATTTACATCGGTGTTCAATCTTTCATACAATTTCTGATTACATACTCTGATTAATATTCAAACTCAATTCTTAGATTCTACACTTTATAACATATTAATCATTTTCAAATTACTTATAAATACTTACATGTATGCTGGTTTTTGTATAGGGTTTGTTGCAATCTGTTAAAGATATATTACCACATGTGGAGCACATGCAATGTGCGCGACACATATATGCAAATTTTAGAAAAGCCTACACTGGGTTGGAGTTCAAAAAGCTGTTTTGGGCTACAGCTATGAGCTGTGTGGAAGGTGATTTCAAGAGACACATAGACAAAAATAAAAAGCTCAATCCTGGTGCATATGAGCATCTGATGTCTAAAGAACCCCAAACATCGTGTAGAGCTTACATAAGTATAGGGTATGCATGTGAGGTAGTGGAGAATGGTATATCAGAGTGCTTCAACTCCATCATTGTGGATGCTAAGAAAAAACAAATGATTACAATGCTTGAAGAAATAAGGATATACATCATGGATAGGTTTGCTCACATGATTGATGAAAACACTAAATAGAATACCCATCTATGTCTAGCAGTGTGAAAAAAGGTGAAGCTTTTTGGGAAGAACGTGAGGTAACACTTTAACATGTAACTTTTGTTGTAATTTCATTAGGTAACACTTTAACAAGTAACTTGTGGATGTAGGTTTTGGTTTATAATTCATAGTCAACAACATGTGTTTGAAGCAAGGAGAGGATGTGATAGCTACATGGTGGATTTAGATGGAAGGCATTGTACCTGCTGGTTATGGGATCTGGATGGGATCCCATGTGTTCATGTCATTGCAACCATCAACTATATCCATTAAGCACCTGATGAGTATATTGATGATATGATTTCCAAGGAACAATTCCTTAAATGCTACTCTGCTAACATTAGTCCAGTGAATGGTTCAAATCTATAGCCTCAAACTGAATTCATAAAGCCCTGGCCACCAGTGTCAAGGAGAATGCTTGGTAGGCCAAAGGTTAATAGAAGGAGACATGTAACTGAAAATGAGGGAAGAGTACACACCCCAAGAACTGTAACGTATGGTAAGTGCTTTGAATATGGCCATAACCAGAAGGGATGCAAAAATGCAACCAGGGAGCCTATCCCTATGCCACTAAAGAAGAAAGGAAGGCCAAGGAAGGAACAATGTGAACCCGTTCAAGAATCATGTGATAGGTCTAAGAGGCAGGAAATAGTTCCTATGCCACCAAAGAAGAAAGGAAGGC